AAATTTTTTTAAAATAGTGGCCCAGTCTTCGATTTCGGCCATCTTAAAATGTACTATATTATTTTTTATATAATACACCCTCACAACCTATCAGTGTTAGGTTAACCTTCTTTTATATCTCAGAATATACCCTTTTTATCTATGGGAAATAACATTGACTTTACACCGGAAGTGATAGCGGCGGCGTATTGAATTAAGATATCACGCGATCACGTGATATCCATTCATCGCTTTTTTATCAAAATCACGTTCTCATTTATCATTATCACGCTCCAAGGTCGTGTTTGGGTTTTCCCCGTTCTGATAACAGGTAGGAACATGTATTATAAATTTAGTTTTGGTTCTGGAATCAGTATTATTAATTTTTCAGCCAAGTAACAAGGATAATTATTTGAGTTTGTGCCTGGGACCGAGGATAATATTTAAAAATGTTTCTAATCGACCCTAACAAGGCGGAAATACCACTAAGATCGATTTCTATTGGTTGTCGATGCGTTCATTGTTTAAACGCACCGGAAGCCGTTATACACGCTCCTCCGGACACTATTATAGGTATTTTAAAGGGTTTTTTAGAAACATTTTTAAATTTGGAGGTCCTAAAGCATATGACTCACAATTTATGTGCTACCTGGCGTTATAATTATTACCTGAAGAACAATCCGGAAAAAGCGGATATCCGTTGGCTATTTAAACAAAAAGTAAGTAATGGGAGGGGTCGTTTCGACCGTTGGGGCTGTAGTTTTATTTTTAATAGAGGAATTTGCTGAAACAGGAGCTATTGCTGGGAGTGCAGCAGCTGTTGGGGCTGGAGAATTATCAGTCGAATCAGCAGCTGCTGGGGCTCTAGGAGATGCTATAGCTTTAGCTGCAGAGGAGGAAATTGTTATTTTTGAGTCAACATCCGCTGCTGTTTCCGGAGGAACGTACGGAAGCCTGTATTCCGGCTCCGCTTTAACATCCGGTTTAGACTTATTAGCTGATACTGCTATAGGAGAATCAGCTTCAACAGCAGCTTTAGACTCAGAAAATGCTTTAGGAGCCTTCTTTGCTAATCAAAGTATTAATATAGGAGCTGCAACTTCTGTTTCTATAGGATCAGCTATAGGATTAACAGCTTGGATCGTAGCTAATGGCTACGATTACAGTTTAGATCAAGTTGACAAACTAGTTCCTACAATAGATCAAGTAGGAAGTGGTTTATTTATGAATTTATATTTTAGGAAAAAAAAGAAGAAACGTCATGCCAGCTCAGAAGAGGGGATGCTGCCTAAATTGTACAAGCGGAAAAAAGTGCAAAGCTACTAAGAAGACGACTAAAGGAAGGAGAAAGACTTTCCATACTCCTCCTGTAGCTTCTTGTGGAAATTTTTTTGTATGTGATAGGGACGGGAATAATTGTTCTAGGATAGCTAAGGGTAGATATGTTAGAAGACGAAGGGGAAGGGGTGGTAAATTAACTTATGAAGTTTGCAGCAAAAAAACAGGAAAATGTCAAAAAGCTCATAAAAGAGTTATTCTTTGTTGTAATACTAACAGACCATGTGTTCAAATTCCAGGTCAGAGAGCAGGACAACGTAGAAGATGAGTCAATACACATTAGGCCCGGTTCAATGGACTGTTTTTGGCAATCGCATGTGCAACTATGAAATTTTAAAACCAGATAATAACCCATGTCACAGAATTTATTGTTTAACCTATATCCAAGCAGGAGGAGACAGTAGAATTAGAATAAAAAAATTAACAATTCAACATCCAGATGATTATTGGTGTTCTCCTTCATCATGTAATAAACCAAAAAATTTTAAAGGAAATAAGTGCACAGAAACGTCAAATAAAATGTTAAGATGGGAAATATTTGCTGCTAATGTAGAACAACGGTGGGTAGTTCAGGATAATGTTACTCTTCATCAGCCTTTTTATCATACATGGGCTATAGGTAATTCAGAACTCGTTTTAGCTGAATATGATACAGCTGAAACAAAAAGGGGTCAAATAAACGGGTTTGTAGTTGAAAGCAATCCAGGAGAGTATGATTGGACAGATCCTGAGGATAGAGGTTTTTATATCTATCAGCAAAATCAATTTATGACAGAAACTGCTTATCCTACTCTCATGCAAAATGCTCCTCCTCCTGGGGAGACAAGCCTCTCAAACGCATATCAAATAGTCACTGATGAGGATAAAATTGGAATAATTTTGTTTAAACCCGAAATAACATTAGGACACGCACATTATTGCTCCGGTGGTACTCCTTCTATGAATGTAAAGTTTAAATTATACATGAGACCACGTTTAATTTGTGTACAACCTCTGTTAACTATGCTACTAGCTAATCAGGGTGCAATGACTGATTTGCCTCCAATTCCGACATTTGATCACGTGGTTCCGGTGAAAAGAGGATTAAAAAAATATCCTGATAACCCGCCTCCGAAACCAGCTACTCCCTGCGTTATTGTTTGCCAGGTAATTTATTTTTTATAACTCTTTATTTATTTCTCTTTCAGAACATGTGTGACTTCATTGCAGATTGTTTGGACAAATCCCAATTTACGAAGAATAACACAATTAAAATTAAGGATGAATATTTGTCAGACTTCGTCCGAAATTTGTTTGACTCTTCAGACTTTACAATCGGCAGAGAAAAAATTGCTATCGACCCAAATTATGTTCCTGCTTTGGTTTGTGCTGCTCTCAATAATCCTGATTCGAATTTGTATAACTGCTTAGATTCAAAACTTCCCCTTATGCCTTTTATGTGCTCTGCATTTAAAGATGACACAAATCCTAATGCTAGATGTTTAGAATTAACTATTAATAAATGGATGAATAATGCTAAGGGTGTATTAAGAGAATCTATGGAGCAAGTAGCATCAAATGCAGTAGGAAAAAACTTTGCTGATACTAATTATAATTATGTGAATATTCAATGGGTACATTTTTTTGAACGAGAATTAGAAAAAGAAGGTTCTGGAGTACAAAAAGCTTTTAAAAACGAACTTGTTAGGTTAATAAAAAATGACGCGGACGTACAGGAAGCTATTAGACAAGTTAAGCTGTTAGGACCTATCAGGCCATTCTACCTACCAATAGTAAGTTATTTTTTCTTTTCAGGCTCCTACAAATGATCAGAAGTTAACCGATTCATCTTTGCAGACTAATGGAATGCGGTGCGTCGCCTCCCCCCCATGTTTCCCGGAGAAGGAGCAGGAAATGGAAGTCGATAGAGAAAAGCAAAAAAACATTCTCGAAGTTATTGGAGAAACTACACAATCCGACACAGTGCCAAGACCTATCTCCCCTAGTGAAGTTCCAAATGGGCCTTCTGTTGATCCGTGCACTGAAACACGCGGAAATGACGACGAGGAAGACGACATCGACGGACTACTCACTTTTGATAAAATCTATTTTGCATATAATATATACACGGATATGTTCAAAGAACCCGATAGCCTTGAATCATTTACTAACTACATACGCCGAAATGCGAAATTGGACCGAGTTGCCGAAAAAATGGTTGATGCATACAAAAATAAAAAAAAACTTAAATGATTTTTACGAGGAAACAAAAGTTGTAACAATTAAAAATGAAAATTTATTAAAATAAAAAATATTTACAAACTGGAAGTGGTTGGTTTTACATTTTCTTTGTTTTTACATACGTCACAATTTTGTTCGTGACGGTGGAAGCGCGTCATAGCAGAAAAAACAGTCTGAATAAACCACGGATTTAAGTGGTCGGGAATTGGCATTAAACGGAAGTAAGCTATTAAAGCAACAAGATGAAATTTACTGAAATAACCGGAAAAAATTTCGTGATCATCAAAGTTTTTTATATTCCACATTATATAATTTTTAATTCTTTTTTTCATTGCAACCGACATTTTTAAATAGTTTGTAGTAATTATTCCAGGCGGGAACACCTGTTGAACTGGCTGTCTGTTTTTTTTTTCGAGGGGGACCTCGATACGTCCATCGATATGGTCCCGGAGGCTTTCTAAGTTCGACCAACCGTAGCCTTCCTTGCCGCCGCGTACGTCATCGAAGATGACCATACGTCGGTCCAGGGCACATCCCAGTTGAAATGCGAGGCGGGATCTGTCAATGTTCACGTTGATTGACACAGCGTCGAACAGTTGGGAGAACGCATGTGCCAACATACTCTTTCCGGAATTGTAATATCCGGTTAGGCAGACATATCTACGTTTTGGGCGTGCAACACAAATACAGTCAATTATGCCGGAAATGATATCTTTTAAACTATCTTCACCGTACAATTTAGCAAAAGATATCGCTTCGAAAAAAATTGAAATATCAGAGTCCATTTCATTTATCTCTTCGATAGTGCGAGATAATTTTTCGTCAAAAAATTCTTGATTAGACATCCGTTGGTGGGAGGCGTGCATTTCCGCTTCCACCACCTCAACGGCTTGTTTTGCATATTTTTTTCTATCTAAATACAAGAATTTTCCGGCATTAACGCCCTGCTCAAAGTGGTCTGCTTCATGCTCTTTTGTATAGTTTTTAATGGTGCACTTTTCTGCCAAGTGGGCATAGGCATGCATTAAATCCATATAATTAGTTATGGAGTGCACCAGAGCAAAGTCAATGAACTGTTTTACATTAAATCTGTCCTTTTTCGGACTAGATTTAGGAACTTCACTTTCATATTTAAAAAAACAGTCCTCAGGGACTGCTTCGTCGATCAATTTTTTATGCATTACAGAATGCAGGACCAAAGTAGGGCTGTTGTCTGCTTGAATATCGTTTCTAAAAATAGTATTTAAACGGGAAGCTGTATAGGAGACATCCCGGAAGTGAATAACACAAATACAATATTCAGCATTAAAAATATAGCCATAGGCAGAAAGAAAACGAGGTTTATTTTCATTTAAAAAATCCTCGACTTGATTAGACTTATGATAGAGTGAAAAAAGCATAAAAGTTTTGCCCTGGGTCCTATTATTTTTAGATCGACAATAGGTAAGATAGATATCAGGAATTTTAATGTCTTTTTTAGGAGGGGTCTCACCCTGAGATTCGTTGAACCAGTCATCAAACTCTTCCTCGCAGAAAAGGTTGCAGCCTGAGTCCTGTTGAGATTCTTTGTACTGAGTAAAGGCGGAATTGAGTTGTTTGGATTTTTCTTCAGACCCTCCTTTGTCCGGGTGGAATTGGCGGCATTTTTTCCGGTATAAACGGGCGACAACCGCCGGATCGGCTGTGCGGACATCAACCTAAAAAAAAAAAAATTTTAA